TATGAGTCCTGTGGGTTGCCTGAGCGTCTTTGCATGCCTGGGCCCACCCAGACAGCAGTTTGTTGTTTGATTTTGGGGACTGGCTGGTCTCACACTTGCTACATGGCTGTCAGGGCAGGCATCGCCCCGGGTTGTCGTTTATAGGTCACTGTGCTCTGTGTTAACTGGGAGGGAGGGGACTCCAGCCTTTCTCTAGTCCCAGGTGTATCAGAGGGTCTTTAAGTTCGTGGTGAGCCGTCCCGCTCTTTGGAACATAGGGGAGGGGTTCCCTTAGCAAGCCAGGTTTGAGGCCAGCTAAGGCGGCGCGCAGAGGGAGTCGGAGGCAGCATCTGTTTCCAATCTGGCCCACGGCTAGGCGGGAGCATTAGCCACCAGGTTCCTAGGATGCGGGGAAAATAGAGGTCTAGGCTGGCTTGGGGCTCCTGAACCATCCCGGCCCTGCCTGCATCTGTCGCTACGACGACAGCACTGCTGAGAACCCGGTCAGAGGTACCGTCCCCCTACCCCAGCTCGGGGGGTTACTTCGCTTCTCTTCCGGCCGGTGGCCCTCCTCCCTCTAACCCCTCTAGACCCTCTGAAGCCAAAGCCAGCTCTTTGGGAGCCACACCTCTAACCTGGCTTCGTGCCAGAAAGCCACGCCCAACCCAAAAGCTCCGCCCCATAAAGCCCTACAATCTACTCCCCCAACCCTGGAGTCGCCTAGCCCCTAAAATCCTCTTCGAAAGGCCACGCCCCCGGCCAGCCATTCTCTCCCAACTCGGTCGGAATCTCAGTCCCTGTCAGTGCTTGGAGCCTCAGCCCCGGCCTCAGCTCCCTCCCTCCTGCTGTGCCCTCAGCCTGCCACTGCGAAGCTCCGCCCCCCGGCTAGTCTTCCCTATAAGCACCGCCCTCTGCCAGCCTACCGAAGAAGCTCGGCAAACTATGAAGAAGCCCCGCCCCTCAGCCCCTTTTCCTTAGAAGCCTCTCCCTCAGCTCCCTCTGCCTCCTGAATCTGCCCATAGCGTGCCACTGCGAGGCCCCATCCCCTAGGCGGCTTCCTTAGAAGCCATGCTCCTAGAAGAGCGGCCTCGGAAACCCCGCCTCTTGCCCCCTCCCCTCGGAATCTCCAGGCCCGCCCCCGCAGGCTAGGCTCCGCCCCTGACTCGACCGCCGCTCTATTGCCTGCGCCAAGTCTACGCTGTGCTGGGCGGGCAAAGACGGACCCACGGCCCAACGGAGGGTGCAGCGAGAGGCGCAGCCTGGACCTCGCCACCGCGGTGAGTCGTTCGGGCCGGCTGCGTCCTCGCCTGGCCTTTGTCACCATATTGGCGCACCCTACAGAGCCAGGGGACACCCCCCTCCCGCGTCCCTGCGCGCTCGACCTCGGAGATATTCGGGCTCGATCGGGGACGCTCGGGTGCAACCGGAGCCGCTCGGGTCTCCCTCGGCCCCGCGCGCGCCTGGCCCGCGCCCTGCACTTGGCTGAGCTCGGGACCGTTATGCTTTGTGGTCCCCTCCCCCACACAGGGGCGGAGTCCGCGGACCGAAGAGGGATCAGGCGGGGGAGAGGAGCCAGGAACACAGAAACTTCCCCGTTCGCCGCTCCCGGGGGCCGCCTGCACCCCTGCACCCCCGGAGGGTCCTGGGGCCCAAGGAGGTCCTGGCTACGCTCCTGTGCACCTCACGACTTCACGTGGTCCCCGGCCTGGGTCCCTCCTCCCCAGGCCCTCTGGCTCCTCTTGTCTGCAGAGCTTGGCTCTCCAGCCTCAGTTTCCCCTTCTAGAGTGTCTTGCATATAGAGTCCAGTGAAGTCTGGATATGCAGTAAGCGTCCTCAGGCCCTGGGACTTGAGGTTCATTGTAGTTTTACAGAGGGGAGTGGGGAGCAGGGATGGGACTGTGTACTTGGGACAGTGCCTCTCCAGTGGATTTGGGAATACACCCAGTGTGTCCAGGGTGGGGACCTTGAGAGATGTGGGACTGAGGTTTCATGGAGAACAGGGAAGGGTTTGCCACTTGCAAGGAACTGCATGCAGCAACAGGACAACTGAGAGGCAGAGGGATGGGAGCCTGGGTTATGATGGATGTAGGTGGAGTCACAGAGGATTCGAGAGTGGAATCGAGATCCTGCGTGGGTAGGCGTTGAGTTTCCTGGGTCTTGAAGGATGTGTTGTTGTGGCTGTATATGAATGAGAAAGGGGTATCTGGTTGGGGCCCAGAGCACTGAATCAGGGTAATAGGGAGAGACTGCCAGGGAAGGTCTGCTACTTCAGCCCAGCCCTTTGGGGACAGCGATCCCACTCAGTTGTCCTTCTTGACCAGTAGGTATGATTGGCTTCTCTGTGTGGCAGGGTGATGGAACTTAGGCCACACCCACCCATTCCTGGCCCTCCTGTCTACTCCTCAATAGGTCCATAGTAATTAAAGCCAGTTCTGGGTGGGGAAGAGATGTGACCAGCTTGAGCGCATTTCTTCACGGAGGGCACAGGCCTGAGGGACTAGTTGGCTGCAGAAGTGTGTCCTGTGGGGACTCTGCCTCTTGGCCAAGTGGATTCCACTGAGGCCTTCCTGGCTGACACCTCAGTGATCTGGGGACACTTACTTGCCCTTGAAGTCTCTGAGCCCCCGTCCAGCAGCATCTGTGGGTCAGCAATGGGGCATGAGAGTCACGAGACTGCTGGAAGTTTCAGCTTCCTGCACCTCCCAGGGCTGGGGGAGCCATACTTGGGCTTCAGGAGATGCCTCTTGTACTGGTGACCCAGAGCCTGTGTCTCACCAGTCTGGTTTATAATCATGCTTTTATGCCTTTGGGCTGCATGGGCATACAAAGCTGGCTCCAAGCCCCCATGACCTGCGGTCTGGCACCCACTCAACTGCTCCTCATGAGTGCAGTGTGGGAGTCGTCAGAGGCAGGTGACCCGCCGAGATCAGTCCAGCTTTCTCCCATGCTCACATCCCACCTGAGACAGCCTTAGGGAGCTCTAATAGCTCCTGAGCCTCAGTTTCCCCTTCTGCAAAGCAGGTGGGACCTGCCTCTAGCCATCTTTTAAGAACAATGGAGTTCTTGACTAATGGCTAGAAGAGTGGCCAGGCCCTCAGTTTCCTCCAGCTGATAATGATTGATCACATATTCAGGTGCAAAGGACCTGGGGCAGACAGACCAGCTTGGACCGACACATGGGTCCTGTCTCCCTCCTCACAAAGCCCTTCAAGGAGGATTGTGGTGACAAACCCTGGGACTTCCTATCCGCATGGGCATAGTGTATGGACTTTTCCTTAGTCTCCACACTCCAACAAGCCTTGGGATGGATGTGGAGATGCCCTCCTGTTCCCTCAGCCTGAGTCTGTTAGGCCACACTCTGCTCCCATCTGGGATCCTGAGAGGCTGAAGTGGTGAGCCACTTTGGTGACATCCCCTACACATGCCCATCTGATCTGGCTGTTACCTTGGGACCCCCTCCCAAGCCTCTCAGGCTTGCTTAGTTCCTCAGTTTCACCAGAGGCTCTCTCAAGGTTTGTCCAAGTTGCCTGGGCCTAACCACTTCTGTCCTTATTATAGCTCCCCATAGGTGCCTTGGGTGAGGCTGGTGTGTGAGGTCAGCTGCCCCTGGCTGGCATGACCCTCCTTCCTCTGAGTCCCCTGGGGCTGTGATGGTTCTCAGGCCAGAGGCTGACCCAGGGCTTTGTCTGTTCACCTGGCTGTCAATAGATTGAATCTGTGGCAGTTATGTGCAGTCTGACTTCGTAGGCCTGCGTTTGGCCTGGTGGAGGATGCTCAGTGAACCACATCCCAACATCCTTGAAGGGTGTATGCATACTGCCTGCTGCAGCCCCACTGTGTGCATCCCATTGTGGTCCCGGACATGAATTTTAGCCTCTGTGTACCTCTGAGGTCTGGCTTTGTATATTGGACTTGTGGTCTGACTGTGTACAAAATCGGACTGGGTATAGAAGTTGGAGGTGTCCCCAGCTTGGCAGTGTGCCTGTGTGAATGTTAGGATTTGATGTTTCTGTGTGTCCATGGCTTGATTATTTCCAGATTTCCTTGCTCTACGGTTAGTTCTCTGGGTCAACTTGCAGCCTGATTGTGTGCTTGGATCTGTCTACTGTTTGACTGGCTCTGTGTGTGTCTGTGTGACTGTGGTCTGACTGTGTGTGTCTATTGAGCCCCTCTTGCTCTCCCACACCCGTGCCCTCCTGGCTTACACTGGACCATGGACTGGCCCCTGCAGCTCCTGCCCTCCCCTGGGGCTGGCTGAGGCAAGCACAGCTGGGTATTCTGGGAGACACAATCATAGGGTCGCCTCACCATTATGCATTTCTCTCCTCTCTATGACCACAGCTGTCTGGCCTCTCCTCGGCCTCTCCACCCCACTGCCCTGGCTTGAGGCAATGTGACCTCCAGGGCACTGCTGGTCCTGGGTTCGAGGTGCCTGATGCATGCTTTGCCCTGGAACTTAGGTCCTTGTGAGTGGGGTGAGGACTGGAGCCTGTGGGAAGCTGAGTCCATGTGTGTCATTTCTGGGCAGGGCAGTGGGGTGTGTGTGTGCAGCATTAGCTGTCCTGGGAGCCCTGGGAGCTGTGGCCAGTATTCGGTCAGGATGAGGTGTTGAGGAAGGCTAGGTCTGAAGCAGGTATTGGGATTCATCTTGGGGTTGGGGGTATAGCCTACGCATACTTCTGGAGGCCAGAAGGTCAAGGTCCAGGCTTGGCAGGTTCATAGTTGGGGTGGGGCTTAGTGTGTGGGCGGAGGCACCCATTAAGTCCTACCCCAACACTGGGGAGTTGAAGGTTATAGCCTGCATAGCAAGTTGTGGCCAGCCTTGGATATAAGGGACACTGTCTCAGGAAACTGCTGAATCCACCCAGGGTAGGACAGTGGGCTTTGAGATGTCTCTGTAACCTCCTGGTCCCATGTGGACCCCACCTGAGTCCCTGGATGTGGTTTCCTCCTCCAGGGACACCTGTAGAAAAGTCCCTGGATTCCCATTCCCCACTCAGTATGCTCTGTTGTCTCTACAGACGCTGCCCCTCTGGGTACCCCATCCTGAGGCCTCTCCGTGAGTCACGGGGGCACCATCCCCCACCAGGGCAGAGGCTGGAGGCCACTGCCAAGCATGGCACCCACCTGGAGTCCCAGCGTGGTGTCTGTGGTGGGTCCTGTGGGGCTTTTCCTCGTACTGCTGGCCAGAGGATGCTTGGCTGAAGGTAAGAGGCTGGGCTGGAGTGGGTAGACCTGGCTGTTCATCTGTTCTAGGGTTTTTGTGTGCAGGTTCCCAGCCCATGGATTCCTGGTGTGGTCCAAACAGAACTTCGATTCTCAAGGAAGTGGCTTGGTGCATAGCTTTGGGAAAGGCTTTGAACAGAGGTGATGCTGGCCAGACAGTAGCTTTGGTGTGACTCCTTCATATCCACTGCCCCTGTGTCAGGTCAGGTTCCACTAGGAGGAGAGAAAGCTTGGGGGGGGGGCAGGGTTTTTTAGATATTAGGAGTTTGTTGACATTTCTGGTTGGGTTGACTGAACAGGGAAAAGTCTGGAGATAAAAAAAATGTTGATGGGTCTGGAATGGTAGCTCATGCCTTTAACTCCAGCACTTGGTAGAGAGGCAGAGGCAGGTATGTATCTGTGAGTTTGAGACCACCGTGAGATAATTAGTGGGACCTTGTCTAACAAAAATGAAAACAAACACAACAAGAGGTGGGTGGCATTGGAGAGATGTGTCAGCAGTGCAGTTCCCAGAATACCCAGGTTCAATTCCAGCGCCCACCCCCAGGGGACTCCGCATCCACGTCTGGCCTCCAGGAGCACTCCATGCTCACACAAAAACAAAGCAAATGAAAATTAGAATGAGTCTATTAAAAGGTGATTGGTATGGTGTAGAACTAAGGATTGCATTTTGCTTATTGCTAAAGGTGTATATGGGACCTCATTTTTGTCATGATGCCAAGATCCATCATGGGAGATCCTTTTATAAGGGACCTTGAAGGGAGGGTTAGTGCAGGGCAAACCTCTCTTCTGGTAGGAAGCAAAGAGGGGCAGAGCTGGCCCTGGTGGGAGGACTCCTCTGGTGACTCAGTGTGGCTGTGGAGGATGAGTACTGGGAGCAGGGCAAGCTGGTCAAGGTGATGTTGAGGAAGGCTAGTCCCAGAGAAGTCCTAGCCTAGGCTTGAGCATTTACTTAGCAGCCATATGTTTGACAGATTCAGACTGGGTCTTATCTCCATGTGTGTCTGGAGTCCCAGGACATGCTCTGTCTAGTTGGAATCCTTTTACCTGGAGCCTAGTAGGTTCACAGCACTAAAGTGTTCTGTGGGCCAGGATGCTTGATTTCTGGTATAAAAATGGTACTGGGTCCAGGAAACCTTCCCAGGCTGCCAAAGGGCTGGGGTGGGGTTCATGAGGGATCCAGGGGAGGATGAGCCCTGAGTCTCACATACACAGAAATGAAAAACCTCAGCCAGGTGGCAGAGCCAGAGCCTCTGTAGGAGCCCATCTACACTTTGGACCTTAGTCTTTTCTTTTTTTTTTTTTTTTTTTTGTTTGTTTGTTTGTTTTGTTTTTTGTTTTTCGAGACAGGGTTTCTCTGTGTAGCCCAGGCTGTCCTGGAACTCACTCTGTAGACCAGGCTGGCCTCGAACTCAGAAATCCACCTGCCTCTGCCTCCCAAGTGCTGGGATTAAAGGCATGCGCCACCACCGCCCGGCTTGACCTTAGTCTTTTCTAAGGGATGGGGCTTGGGGAGAATGGGGCTCCTTTATATAGGAGTTGCTTTTTTCTTAGATCTCGTGGGGCCAGGTTAGACCCTAACTGCGCAGCATCAGCTGGGGGACCAGGACAGTTGCATCTCCTCTCTAGGCCTCTGTACAAGTGAGGATGAAACTCAACAGTAAGCCTATCTGTGCCTGGTGCTCAGGGGACTTCATCCTTAGAGCTGTGGGTCTGCCCTCAAAGGCCCATGGTGGTTTTCCTTTTTGGAAAATAGAGATGTGTGTGTGTTCCCAGCAGAGATGGTAGGATCCCTCAAGACCCATCGACCACAATAGGTGGAGCAGGCTCTGCACGGTTGGCTTGGGGCCCAGAGCCCAGTAGGCTGATGGATGTCTACTCAGTACCAGGGACCAGCAGGCAAGGGGGTGGAGACCCATGTTCTTCTAGGATCAACTGGCACAGAAAGGAAGAGAGGGACTGTGGAGACTCAGGTCCCCTGGAAGGGGGTGGTAGGAGGGGACAGCTCTGCAGGGTGGCTGGATTGGAGGGTGTGAGGGATTTGTCCCACCTCTGAGGGGTCCAACCTGGCCAGTGCTACCTTCTCCCACATCCTTGGCTAAGAACATGTGACCCCTGGTGAGCAGTGGAGGAGGCCAGCCTGCCTCCATCACCTCATGGGCTGAGGGGAAGCAGAGATCTGAGTTTGAGTCATGGGTTGTCATTTCTGAGTTCTTTGGGGAACCTCGTGAAAGTCCATTAACACTCTCAAATCTGCAGCAGGGGACACACAAGCATCTAATCAGGCTTCAAGCATGCATGTGCCTGGAAACTGCAGGCTGTGAGTTTGGGAGCAGGCCTTGAGAATGGGGCGGGGAGGCTGGTCAGTCTCCAGAGCAGTGACACTTGAAGATAACTCAGTGTGACCCCTGAATGGAAGTAGTTGAAGTTTGTGGGGATCCAGACTTGTAAACAGAGGGTTTCAGAAGTTTCTGGAGGACCCGCCAGGCCAGTGTATCTCCTCTACCTCCTCCTGGCTCACTTTGAAGCTTGGGTACCCAGTGTTGAGAGGTTTGAGTGCTCACCCCGCCTCCCAGCTCCCCTTTTGTTGGGTGCTTACTTTGTGTCCCCAGCTTTGAGGGACAGCTCTGGGTGCTGGCATCTGGGGAAAACATTGCAGCGTAGCTGTGATTGATGTGTTCAGTCCTAGGGTGACCGGCTGCTACCAAGCAGCCAATAAAAGGGAAGTGGCAGAGATACCAATCACAGAGGCCTAGGCAGGCATCAGAGTTGGGTGGGCTCCTGAGCCTTCCTCTGAGGCAGAGTCATGGGGGTTGTAGAGTAGGTCTGAACAAGGTTGGACGGATCAAAGCCAAGTCCTTCGCCAGCGTGTGCCCCTGGCTTATGCTACCCTCGGGGCTCTGTGCTCAAATATCAACACTGCTCATCTTTTATATTTTTATCTAGATATTCACATAACATTTATTATTATATGCATGTGTTGTCCTGGGTGTATGTAGTGGTCAGAAGACAACACATGAGAGTCACATTGTGGACCCCAGGATTGAACTAGAGTCGGTGGGAGGCTTGGTGGCAAGCTCCTGTCCCTGTGGGGCCTTCTGCCCTTGACTCTCAGCTTGTGGTCACCTTTGGTCTCCCTGCCCAGAGCCTTACTTTTTCCACAAGTCCCATTAAAGAATTAGAGCATATTTTGTTTCTTTTGGGGTGAGTCTGTGTGTAGCAGGCCATCACTGAGATGTCTCTAGGGGCTCATTGTGAGGACTCCAGAGTCTCCAATGGGCACTGTATGCTTGTGTGAGCCTGTGGGGAAGCCTAGACACCCTCAGACCTCCTCTCTCCTTGCTGAACCCCCAGAGCCACCCAGATTTATCAGAGAGCCCAAGGATCAGATTGGTGTGTCAGGAGGCGTGGCCTCCTTCGTGTGCCAGGCCACAGGCGATCCTAAGCCACGGGTGACCTGGAACAAGAAGGGCAAGAAAGTGAACTCACAGCGCTTCGAGGTGAGCTGGGGCAGGGTGGGGTGCCCTCAACCATATACCCCTTTCCAGTGGGGCAGTGGCTGAGCCTCAGGATGCCACAAGGCAGCCCCAGCCTTGCTTCTGCCTTGTGAGTCCTCAGGCCAGGTCCTGCCTTCTCTTGAGTCTTAACTCACAGTCCCACCACACATGGGAGGAAATGCCCACGTCACACGCCACCACACATGTCCATGTCTTGTACTCAGTGCTGAGTCTGTGGCGCAAGCATGCGCTCTATTCAGGCGCTCAGTGTGCTCAGGGTGTGTCTCTTGGCCTCTCTTATTTGTGTTCAATCCTTGGTGGTCTCCAGTATGCACATGTGTGCCCCCAGCCCACAGCTCAGCTGGGTGGAACCTGCCCTGGCCTCACTGGCTCACCTGCCCCATCTTGACCCCTGTCTACTTCCCAGACCATTGACTTTGACGAGAGTTCCGGGGCAGTGCTGAGGATCCAGCCACTTCGGACGCCCCGGGATGAGAACGTGTACGAGTGTGTGGCTCAGAACTCGGTGGGGGAAATCACAGTTCATGCGAAGCTCACCGTCCTTCGAGGTACACAGCCCAGGGCACAGGGGAAGCACCAGACTGCAGACCTTGCTCCCAGGCTCAGAGCCCTCTTGCACTGGCTCTTGCTTTTTCCTTAAGAACTAGGGTTTCTCTGATTTGTGTGGTTTAAATGTCTGTGGAGTTTGTAGATTTCAAGTTCATCTTTATCTAGGCGCTCAGTCGATGCTTTCTGGACTCTGTCCCTGGGTCTTTTGTGACCCTCTGTCCCCAATCAGCTTGAGTCGCAGGTGGCTTCCCCAGCTAATCCCTCCCGCTCCGGAGTAGATAGCCATGGTGCCTAGAGTTGCAGCTGATCAGCCCCACAGAGGAAGTTAGTGAAGAGTGGGTCAGAATGGCCTCAGCCCCACCACCCCTGTGCCCTGGCTTTGTGTAAGGAGCACTGAACACTGGGACCAGACAATTGAATTCAAATTCCAAGGCAGCAGCTTTAGAGCTGTGATCTGGGCTGGGTTAATGAGCTTGTCAGGGCCAGGGTGTCCTGACCCTTGGGGACATTGCATGTGTGGCCATGAGCCACTGCTCTGGGCATCACAGGTCCCCATGGGCTCCCTCATGAATCTGGGACACAGGGCCACTGCCACTGGTGGGAGTTCTGAGCTGCGCCAGGGTCAAGAGTCTGAGAATTGTGTCATCTCTAACAAGGGGCCCCAATAGAGTGCTCTGTGATTGCCAGAGCCCGTCAGGGATGGAGCTGCATAGACTCCACACATCCTAGGCCCCTCCTCTCTCCTCTCTCTGGGATATTTTTTGCCTTGACCTTTCCCGGCAGACTCAGCAGCCAGCCTCCCACTGCCCTGTACCAGCCTTGTCAACACTAGCAGAGTTGGGACTCGGTCTGCATCCATCACATGCTGATGTACTGATTGCTGGCAGTCTGGAAAGATTCTCCTACCTCTTTGAGCTCCAGACACCCGCCATGTCTCTTTGTTCTTTGACTATTGCCTGTGCCTTTCCACTGAGTCCCCCTGAACAGACACTTCCCCTCCACCCCAGCCCTCAGCCCTAGGCAAGCTCGAGCTATGTCTCTTGTCCCATGTGGTTGCCAGGGCCATTGCACTTACCTCCCTCCTTCCTCTCCTCTATCTGATTGTGACCCAGGGTGAATCCCCAAGGAGTCAGGCATAGTGCTATGTGGGAATAGCAGGCAGTGGTACCTCTCCCCAGCCCTGCACCCCAGCTGCTACTACACACATGTGTGCACAGGACCCTTCAAGGCTGCCTAGGAAGCCAAGGAGCCTGCTACATCTTGGGCTGCGTTCCCTAGCGGGATAGGGGTTCTTGTCGACTTCATTTCCTAGCCACCTTCACTGCTGTCCCTTCTAGTGTGGGATCCCAAGCATATGACTGTTACACATGCCACCCCCGCCCCCCGCCCCAGCAGCCCTGGTGCTCCTGAGGTGACAGGCGTTTCCCTCCAAATACTTTCAGCCATGAGGCAAAAGGTTCCAGTTACAAACACTGACAGGGGACGTGCCCCTGTACACAAGACTGTGCCTGCCACACTGTTAACATGGCAAGCAGAGCCCAAGCCCCTGGCCCTGGGTTAGCCCATCCTTCTTTTTGAATGCAGCCAGTTAATCACATGTCTGGTGGCCTCCGCTCTGGCTCTACTGTCCTGTTCATCTGTATGCTGCATAGGCCCCTTGCAGAATCTCATTTCTCCCTGGCTCTCCCAGGAGCAGCAGACACTGCTGGGCTCAGTGACTCTGCATCCCCTCCTTGCTTCTCTCCTGGTGGCCCAGGCTGGTCTTAGGTTCATGCTGCTCGTGTGTCTTGGTCCTAGGGAGCAGGTGTTGAACTGGGGCATCCCAGCAGTCAGGTTGGTGTTCTCTAGAGGACTTGGGTTCTGAGTTCTGGAAGGGTCTAGAATGAGTCCATTTGTTCCATGGGATGTTTGGATGGATGCAGAGGCAGGAGCATGGGGTTGAGTATGGGAGGAGGAGACTGCAGAAGCAGTCTGGGCCTGAGGAAGGGTGATGAGTGCTCCTGCTAGGGTGCTAGGGGGTCCGTGTGGGTGTCACCACCTGATGACAGTGTACCTATCTCTAGCTGTAGACACTAGCGTGATGCCGTCCCAGGAGCAGTGTGATCCCAGGTTAGTGCAGGTAATGGGGAACCATAGCACGTGGAAGGAGTGAGCCTTCTGTGCTGGACCCCCAGTCAGGCCTGTGACCCCAACAGCCCACAGCAGCCATGGAGGTCTTGGGAGCTGTAAGCCATAGAGGGTGGCAGAAAAGCAAGGGCCGTGGGAGGTGCCAGGCCATTACTGTGGCCACTGAGGGCATGTGCCACAGTAACTGGACTCCTGTTCCATTTTTTCCCCACTCCACACTCCCAGAGGACCAGCTGCCTCCTGGCTTCCCCAACATTGACATGGGCCCCCAGTTGAAGGTTGTGGAGCGCACACGCACAGCCACCATGCTCTGTGCTGCCAGCGGGAACCCTGACCCTGAGATCACCTGGTTCAAGGACTTTCTGCCTGTGGACCCCAGTGCCAGCAACGGGCGGATCAAGCAGCTTCGATCAGGTGGGCACAGGTGGCCAACAGGATGAGAGCGCCATTGAGGGTGGCAGAGGGTCCATACTTTGGGCCTGATGGGGGAATAGGCTGGTACATGGTGCACTTGAAGCCACCTAGGAGCAGAGCTCAGGCCCTGCACCCAAACCATAAAGAGCTACAGAGGCCAGCGGTAGGAGCAGGGCTCTAGAACTCGATAGTGTGCTTTGTAGGTGACGATGGCTGTAAGCAGTGGGTGACTGCTCAGCACCAGCCATGAGGGCAGGTTGGCAGGGGCATGGGGGCCTTAGCTCCAGAGGATTAGTCAAGATAATGGGGAGCCATAGAAGGTGGGAGAGAGGGGGGCGGCACACATTAACAAGTCAGTCAGTGGGGCTTGGGGGCAGAGAGAAGCTGGATGGTGGTAGTGACCAAGGGCTTACAGCACCAGGGAGATGGAGGGCCACAGAGGCTCCGGGGACAGTGTCCTTGGTGCTAAAGACATCAGAACCAAGGAATATAGATGAGCGTCTGTGCTGGTTCCAGCTGGTCTGGGGAGGCCCAGGATGGAGGCCTGGCTCTGGGACCAGTGAGGCTGGGTGGTTTGCAGTTGTCTTAGTGGAGACTCCATTCTGTCTACTTGATGAGTCTGTGTCCTTTTGGGGTACCATGTGTTCCCTTCACTTGTCTGTGTCTGTGTGCATGTGACTCCTTGAGTGGCTTGCCCTGTCTCTTGTTTGTGGGCAAAATGCTGGAGCTGGGCTGTCTACCACATGAGTGCCTGCCACATGTCCCTCCCAGGCCCCAAGTGCACATGGCTCTTCTCGTCCATCCCTCAGGATGCCTGCTGGTCTCTGAATGTTGACTATGCCTGTATCTCCTTTTCTCCCAGGCACCCCCATATTGACCTCTTCACATTCTTATTCCACTCTGTTGCCCTCCCCCAGCCTCCCTCTCTCTGCCAAAGACCTGCTCTGCCTATTGCTGTCCTCAGGGTGTCTATTCCACCCCCCACAAGTACCCTGAGACACAGCACCCTGAGATGCAGCTTAGCTGCGGGCAGTCTGCATAGGAGAGGCCCCAGCTCTGGGGAGCCCTCAAACTCTGGCCATCATGTGGCCAACATCCAGGGGTAATAACTAGGCATTGTATAAACACATAGCCCTGGGAGCTGCCTTGCACCCTATGATCCTCCTCTTCCTCCCTCATGCCCACGAACAGCTGGGATATCCAGTGGCCATCCTTTAACCTTATTCTCTCTTCTCCTCCCCCTGTAACGCTCAGAAAGCTTTGGTAAGTTCTCACTTCTGTGCCACACCAACCGCTAACAGGTCTGCCACCCTCCGCCCACACTAACAGCCACCGTGACAGTAACTGACCCACTGCGTGTGGCATGTGTACTAACGCCCTGTTACCTGCCCCTGTGGTGGGCTGCATAAGACCCCACCCACAAGGAAAAGAGGAAAAATGCCACCTGACCTCAGTCTGGGGGACATCACATCTCACGAGCATCCCTTCTGCTCCGAGCTCCTGGGCTTCTCCAGTAGAGACAGATTTAATGCCCAAGGTGCTGTGTCTAACTAGAGTAGTCTGGAAACAGCTGCTGGGTTAATTCTTGCTAATGTGATACTGACTGAGCATGCTTAAGGCTCTGGGCTTGGTCCCGAGCACCACCAAACTAAAGGTGGAAAAGCAACTGGGTTCTTTCTCCTTACAGCAATATGAGCAACCCCTGGGGCCTCCTGATCCTGTAATCCAGGCAGAGCTAAGAGTTCCGTCACGCCTTCCTGGCTCCTACCACACAGATGACAAGTTCCCATTGGCTTCTACTGACAATGTGCGGGGAGGCCTGTGATATCTCTGCTGGGCATGATGCCTGGGCCTTTAACCCCAGCACTCAGGAGGCAGAGGCAGGATGATTGTTATGAGTTGGAGCCCAGTCTGGTCTTTATAGTGAGTTCCAGGGCCACATAGATGTAGGCGGGGTCTGGGGAGAGGGACGAGCACTCAGTGTAGGGAGGAGATGCAGGTCCACAGTGCAGAAGTGACTGACACTTTGTATGGACGCCCCTCTGAAGTCTGTTGAGACTCACCCTGCCTGCCTTTGGCCTCAGTTTACCCAACCAGCAGGCCTGGGCTAGCTCTTACAGCTTCGGCTGAAAGAACTTGGCTTTGTTCCAGCAAAGAAGCAGCATCAGAGACCCCAGCCTGGAACCTTCTCTGCCTTTAGTGTGACCAATCCACAGATGGCCATTTTCCTCTTTTCCTTCAGAGTTGAAGGAGGCCACTCGGTCCCCTCCACCCTCAGCTCCTTTCCCAAGTCTCCCTCTCAGCCTTGGTGACACCCAACCCCATTGCACCAGTGCCCAGCCCTCTAGTGCTAACTCCTGTCCCTTCCTGGTCACTAACAAGACTCCTGGGACCCTGCTGGTACTTGCCCCTCCCAGTCTAGATGTCAGAGAACCCCTTGTTGGAACACCAAAATAACCAGAGGGAGGAGGCATGGTCTCCCTGGGACCCAACCCAGACCCAGGGAGGCTCTCTGCAGGAAATACCACCCAAAGGCCCACAACCCCAGCCCAGAGCCCTGATGAGGCTGGCTGTGGCTCCACTGCCTGGCAAAGGGACAGGCATGGCTCCTGGCCCTGAAGCCCCCGCCCTGTGACATTCACCTGTGTCTCTCTGTTTCCCTTACAGAAAGCACCCCCATCCGAGGTAAGAGGTCTGCCCATCACCATCTGGCCCTGAGTTCTCACTAGCTACCCCTCAGCCTGCCACAGCCCCTACCCTCTGATGTTTGTGTCTCTGTCTGTGGCTTGGGCCAAGTGTGGCTGCAGGGAACAGTGTGGGCATCCAGTTGTGACACAAGCACCACTTCTCATGCCCACCTGAACTCCTGCCCCACCCTCACCCCCATACTCACGGCCATCTATAGTGAGCTGAAAAAGGTCCTTTGAGATTTGGGGGTGTTCAGCCTGGAGGGATCAGAGAAAGGAATTCTCCAAAGACAGGTGTGACACACCCGCTTTCCCAGAGCCCATGAGAACAGACCAGTGCCTGATAGACTGTGCATCCTCAAACAGGTCTCTCACCCTTTCTGGTCTCTGCAGTGGTGATGAAGTCAGTAGAAGCATTCTATGGTGGCCAACCTTTGCCACCACTCAAGAGAGGGGGCACAGGGATCTCTGGACCCTGTCACTACTGGGGTATAGCTGTCAACAAAAACCAGAGAACGAGGACAAAAAGTCTGCAACGCTGGAATTTAGGAGTGCAGGGTTTCTGCACATGGCTGCCATTGTGTTGTGCTTAGTTGATGCCTGGATGCAGGTCTGAGATCCAATATACTGAGCCAGGTTTTCTGCCTTTGCTCTGCTGTACGTGAGGGTTAGGAGGCAGGCCCACGAGGCAGGCATGGGGGCCCACACCTCACTTTGTTTTTAAGTTGTAAATACTAAGCTGTCTCAAGGGCTGAGATTTCCAGTGTCCCTGCCTTCACTGTGGAGTGGGGAATACCTAGCTTGTAGCTTGTTTGAAGTGTCCTTGGAGGAAGCATGGCCTCCTTCAGGGGCCGTGAATACAGATGCCTGCAGCTCACTCATCATAGTCTCTGGGTTTGCTTTAGTTTTGTTTTTTTGCTGGATTTTGGGACAAGGTTTCCCATAGGCTGTACCACCAGCATAACTCAGAGAGCTGTGACACCCTGAGGCTCCGGGACCTGGGATGAGGTGCCTGTGTCCTGTTGCCAATGTCCCCACACTCCACCCTGGGCTTCAGCCATGGGGTCTGACTGTGTGTGGCCCCTATGTCCTTCACCCAGCAACTGTTAACCTCTGCCTCTGAGGAGGGACTGGCCTTTCCTACTGACCAGCAGCTGAGGGAGAGCCTGGGCTTACTGCTGCCCAGGCAAGTCTGGGATGGTCTGTTAGTCCACAAGATGCTGGGGTAGCCTCTACCTTCCTCACCAACCCCCTAGGAGTGGCAGCCTCTTGGGTACCCTGCTATGCCATGCCCCATGGCTCTCCGTTTGTCAGTGAGCAGTACAGATGTGATGGTGGGGGTGTTTGTCAGGTCCATCCCCATCCTGGTGCTGGCCATCATGGCCAAGGTCCATCCCTGTCCCTGCAGGTGCACTGCAGATAGAGAGCAGCGAGGAGACAGACCAGGGCAAGTACGAGTGTGTGGCCACCAACAGCGCTGGGGTGCGCTACTCATCACCTGCCAACCTCTACGTGCGAGGTAGGGAACTCCGCCAGGCAGAGGCAGGGAGCCACTGTCCCACCCTGTCCCACCTTATAACTGGGCTCATGGTCTCCTGGCTCCCCTGTCCTGTGCAGTCCCGAGCAGGAAGGCCCTGACCCCATCCATGGGGTTATTGGAATGACAGTCACCACACTGTGGGCCATGGGACTCCGTGGGGGCGCACGATGGCAGGATGGGTGGGTACAGAGTGGGGTGGGAGGCCAGTCTCGGGCCTACAGGGCTGGGGGAGCCTGAGGGCCACCGCCCCCCCACCATGTCCCCACCCCCAAGTTGGCTTGTGTGGTGTCTGTGTCTCCTGTGTCCTGCTGGCTTTGCTTCTCTGAACCCGTGGCCTCGTGGCTCCCTGCTTCCCCACCCCGTCCAGTGTCTCTAGCGAAGACTGTGGGGAATGGGGTTTCCGAGCTTTCTTCCCATCCAGCATCCCAAAACCCAGTGCTCGATCTAGAAGGAATATACCCAGGCTGTAAGAGGCCAGGGCCACGGCTCGCTTGCTCGTGTGCAAGACACGCCTCCTAGTCCTTGGGGCTCCAAGTAGGTCTCAGAATCCTAGACTTGCTCAAGTGGATGGAAGCCTGGGGCTCGACGGCTGCCTCCCATACTTCCAGCCCAAAGAGGGTTCCTGCAGGACCCTTGGTGTCCCCTCCTCCTCCACACCCCAGGGACACACTGGGGCCGCCATCTGCTTCTGTCAGTTGACCTGCTCACCTTCCTCCCCAGCCTCAGTTTTCCTGAAGCGCCCAGCCCCGCCCCTATCGATCTTCATCCCTCTCTGCCCGGGAGGCTGGCCAGCCGCCCCTCTCCCTCCAGCCCTCATCTTCCCCAGCTCCTAGTTAACTCCTTGGGTCCTGGGCTGTGGGTTTTACATCTTGGCTTCAAACAGGAGGCCTTGTGGAGGGAGGGTATGGGAGGGTGGGAGGTGGGCCAGTGTGATCTTCTGCCACCATGGCACCCTGGTGAGTTGCAGTCCCTGCAGGACTCCAGCGATGGCCTTCATCTAACTTTTGTGTTTCTTTGTGGACACCACCGGGGATGGGGGGGGGGGTTGTGAGTCTGACAGGGTTCAAGAAAGATGGGACAGCAGGGATGGAGTAGGGGAGGGAGGATCACGTAGCAAGGGTGAGGGGGGTGGAGGGCCCTGCGCGTTCTGGCCAGCCTCCTGCCTGGGGAGCGCAGGTGAGGAGCGCAGGTGAGGGTCGGGAGAGTGCTGGCTCTGCTGGCTCTGCTCAGCTCACCGATAGAGGAAAGGGCAGGAGGTTTATGTTCTTTTTCTTTTTTGATTTTAATTTTTTTAATTTTTTTGGTTTAAAGAAAAAAAAGCAAACGATTGCAGCTTTAGCCGTGGGAAGTCCTCTTTTTACTCTCTGTATCTCCCCTATTTTTTCTCTTCTCCCCATGTCATTGTGCGCATCAAACCCCCTTTACATCCCTCAGAGCTTCGAGAAGGTTGGTGTGGCTTTTTTCTTTTTTACTTTCTTTACCCACATTTTTACATTCTGAAAAAAAAACAAAAAACACTGATACACACTCACACACAAAGCAACAGGCAGACACCGTACAGGACACACGCACACATGCACACAGAAAACGAATAGCAAAACAGATGTAAAGTGGAATCAGGTACCGAACCTAAAGCAAACAACCCAGAAAGACACACAGAACCTAATGTCAGCCGCCGGCCAGCGCGGCCAGCCGGCACACGCGATGCTTGCATTGTGGTCGCCTCTGCATCCCTTGGTAATGTTGTTGCTAAGTTTTTTTGCACTCCTCGTCGTCATGGTAACTTGGGCCTGATGCATGCTGGGAGAATGTAAAAAAAAAAAATCTCTGCATGCCACTCTTGTCATTGGTGGATCCCCAGCCTCTGTTGGAGTATTTGTCTCCTGTTTCATTTTTTGTTTCTTTTCTCTTTTTCTTGTTTTCTTTCTTTTTCTTATTTTTTCAATTTTTTTTTATAAGTTTTGTTTTTTGGGGGATCAATTGGTTCTTCCCACACATTTCTGCTCTGCCTCCCTCCACTGGACACCCCCCCCCCCCAAGCTATGTCTTTGGTTCTGTCTTGTTCTGTGCTGTTTGGGTTTTGGTTTTCTTGGGCTGAGCTGTTGTGGTTGTTACCAAATGCATTGTGAGTTTAAAGCCAGTGTTCCTGTCCCAGCTATCACCCAGAGGGTGGAAGGGGTCCCACAGCTGGGATGCTATGACAAAAAGTGACCACGCAGGTACCATGTGACCAGGGGGACAAGTGGGGGCGCCCAGGTTAACCATGCTTCCTTCTCTAAGAGCATATCCCATCCTCCTGCCTCAGTATATTTAATACCCTTTCCTCCCAAAGAACACAGACAGGGTCTACCAGTGCCCCAAGTGTCTGCTTAGTATTGGCCAACCTAAAAAGGAGTGGGACACCACAGCTCAAGGATCTTGTGCTTGACAGAAAGGACACAGTGTGACAGCTGGCAGTGGCTTCATGCAGCTAGGCTTATCCAGCGTTGCCCACTGGGTAGGGCAGTAATGTGACAGACCCTGAGAGAATATCTGGCCAGCAGCAATGCGCCTCTAGATACAAGCACAGATGTGCTGTCCCACAGCATGGTCACTTTCTGAGTCACCTGAGCATCAAGGCTGTGGAACTCCAGAGAAAACCAGGGGCATTTGGGGCGTGGCCTCTCCCCAACTCCTCCTCTACTTTGCCTGCCCCTCCCTCTTTCTAAACTTTCTTTTTTCCTCTCTCTTAGTTCTTGTTTTCTCTTTGTCTCTCTCTGTTTCTCTCTGTCTCTCCCTGTCTCTCCTGAGACTCACACATCTACCATCTACCCTATCCACCTTAAAGAATAAAACCCCTTTAATTCCCAGTCTGCTCTGCACCTCACTGCTCCTGGGGATAGCGTCCCCAAGGCAGGTCACCCACTCACAGCCTCCTCTGTACCTTCCCAGTTATTAAATCCAAAGCTTGGTCAGGAAAGTTCTCTAGACATACCAGGAAGGGACACGGTTGCCTCTGCTCTCAGTCTGTATAGAAGCTGTCAGCCTGAGCCACAGGCAAACTCCCAAGCTCCTTCAAAAAGCAGGCGCTGGGGGACAGGGAATCCCCAAGGACCACTAACATTGGAGATCACTCGTGTCTACGCCTGGGGCACAAGCCCAACCTTGGCAGGCGCTTATTTCCAGATGTGTGACCTTTGGCTTCTCATTTGACCTCTTAAGAGTTCTCAGTCCTCAAGTGAACTGTGACATTCTTAGTGCTTGCTCAAAGCTGATAGCATCGCATGCTCTGGAAGAAGACAGTCCTAAGTACCCATATGAGTTGAAAGGGGAGGAAGGAAGGGGCCCCTAGCCTCAGGTGGCTGGATGCCTCCAGTGTCCTCTGTTTAAATGTGACAGTCTAAGGGACAGTGGTGAGACTTGCTAAGCATACACTCAGCCCTGAGTTCAGATCCAGAACCACATAAAGAAAATAAAACATGGTCAGTGGGGACTGCCTCAGAGAGCACCGCAGTGCAGAAGAGTCTGCACGCTGGCCTGGATCGTTTGGTCTTTATTGGTGTTTTTCTGAGGCCTATCCTCTGGAGGCAGGTGGCTGGCTCCTCCAGGGCCAGTGATGTCATTTTCCCCCTTGTGATTTTCTCTGAGGAAGTCTTGGGGCCCAAGAGAGGCAGATGAGGGTACCCTGGAGCAGTCCGGCCCCAGCAAGAACCCACAGGAGAGCAGGGCAGGCCTGTGAGGCCTGCAGAATGACATGGAACCTCCCTCACTGCAAAGTCAGCAGCTCCAGAGTCAGACAGACAGACAGACAGACAGACAGACAACCCTGGCTGTCCTCCAACTAGCAGGCTCAACTTCTGAGGAAGCCCCAGGCACTGCCCTACCCTTGACCTTTGGGGACTAAATGGCCAGAGCCTGATACAGGATTGGTTTTAAATCCAACATTCTGCACCTCTCTGGGATTTCCTGAGGGAAGCCAGTGCCAGGAGATAGTCAGATGATGTCATCGAAGGCTGTTCACATTTTTCCTCATCAGTAGTTTAAGGCTGTAAGCTTTTAACAGGTTTGCAGGTTAACCACAAGGGAAGGCATTGAAGCACAATGCACATAACCCAGTTAATGATGCATCCTCCCACCTGCTGTGAAGGGACAGCCTCCGCCTACATGGGGATCTGAGCTTCTAATGCTGCCTTCCTATTACCCTGTACAGCCAGTGAGGCCGAGGAGGCCCAGTCCCTACATGATTGCTGAGCTGAGCTTGCTCTTAGGCCTTCATAGGTTTACCTGCTCCTGTTGCCTCGGGGGACAGGTTGGCCTTCATTGAGACTTCTGTACCCAAATCCTAGAATTTGTCACCTGACTTGAACTGTGAGTGATCTGGAGCCTGGAACTGCCCTCACTTCCCCCTGATGCCCTGTGGAGTCTGTTGGTTGGCTACCCCTTCCTATCGGCTGTGCCCCTGACAGTACACCAACTCCCCATCACCCTGTCCTGTACTGAAGGAGAGGGGTCTCAGGGCGGGGAGACTCCAGCAGGGTCTGGTGGAGGTGGGGAGGGCATCCTACAGGAACACTGAGCACTGACTGACATGTCGCCTGCTGCCTGCCTCACCCTCTGCATCTGTGTCCCCTGTGGGCCGGGTCGGTCAGGACATTAGATTACACCTGGTCCTCGGGAGAAGCCACAGTAGTCTCCCATGGCCACAGTTTCGGATGGGGGTGGGGAAATTAATTGGCAACAATGTAAAGGGAATAAAAGAGGGAGACAGGGCTGCCCCACACACACAGAGAACAGCGGGGAAATGACTGGTGGGATACAGACCCAACAGCCTGCCAAGGCCACTGCTCAGCTGCCCATGCCAGGGCTTGGGGCCCTCTGGGCCTTCATATGGCAGCTTCCTGGCCAAGGGAGCCAGTGGTGGACCTAGAGGCAGGCGGGAGGGAAGGTGCTCAAAATAGGTTTTGAACTTGGGCCTCTGCCCCTTCTCCCCCAACCCCGCCATGACAGGTGTAATCTAAACCTTACTCAACTCCCACCCCAGAGGCTGCACAAGTCCTTGGCAAACCCCCACCCCAGCTCGTATCTACGGATTCATTTTGGAGTTTAGAGAACCAGTCACATTTTTCTCTCACTCCAAAATGCCCAGCAGAGCCCCTCCCCCATCTGCAGATTGCAGAGCCCCTCCCCCATCTGCAGCTTGCTTCATCATCAGTTGTGCAACACTGTCGGACCCCTTACCTAGCACTTCAACCAGGCCACCTCACTGTTTAGAGTTTTCTTCCCCACTCACCTCTCCTGTCCCTCCCCACCTAACCCCCACCCTCAAACCCCCACATTTACGTTTTGGTCTCCGCCTCTTCCTGCTTGGGGGAGGGGCTGTCTCCTAGTTGCTTTGGTGGTTTTTCAGTTGGTTTGATTTTTTGTTGTTGTTGTTGTTGGCCATGTGAATCGGGGTTTGAAGCGACCATCCACCCCTAACCTGCCACCACCATCCCCCATCCCTGCCACCCAACCCTCCTGACCCCACTCACCCACTCGGGTTCCCCCTGCTGGGACCCTCCCCGGCTACTCAGTGACCAGAAGAGCTGGGGACCAGAGCCAGCTGGAGCGTGCTGAGGACCAAGGCTGGTGTTGCCCCTTATAACCCGCCTGGACCCTCCTTTCAGGTCGGTAATTTGGGGTGGGGGTCCCTTGGGGCCTGTCCATCCTGTGGGCTCTGCGCCCGCCTTATTTCCTAATGTGCACCTCAAGCCTGCAGCCAAGGGGTGGAGGAACAAAGTGGGTGGGCAACCGCCCAGAACTGGGCAGAACACAGCATCAGCCGTCACGCCCACTGGCTGGGAGGGTGCTCTGAGCAGGTGGGAGCTGCCTCCTGTCTGCAGCACCCTCCCCTGCATACTCTGGCAAACCAACCCACTTCCCACAAGACATAGAAACCAACAAAGAGCTGTGAAGGCCAGTGGGCAGCATTTCTTGGATGCCCCAGACACCTTTGCAGCTGACGGGAGCTGATATTTAACTGATTGTGGCTGGCCATTCAACTGATAGGGGCTAGCCACATCAGAACCATTAAAAGGATGTGTGGTCCCATCCAGCATTTAATAAATGCAGTCAGCTCTGGACGGAAACTGCATATTCAGGTCATCTGTAGCTTCTGTGTTTTGAAAGCTGAGGTCACTTCCACACAGTGGCACCCTTGACATAAATAAAGTTGGGTCAGACATGAGCAAGGCCTGTAGAACCTGGTCCTCAGTGACCAAGTAAACCGTGAGCTTTGGGCTCTGTTCCTCAGGGTTCCACACATTGAACTAGTGGCCTCAGGTGTAACATGTTTGACAACTGCCAGTAAGCCTTTTCTGGGGCTCTGGGCTCACATGATTGAGGGCCTTCATCCTCTCCATCCCCTATTAAAGACGAACACATTTAAAGGAACTGAGATGGTGAGAAAGGGACACTGAGCTGACATTGCTGCTCACCTGTGAGTGGCAGGCATGGCTGAGGCTGGCAACTCCTCATTCTCCTCAGCCTCCTCACCTCTCTGGCTGGCTGTCTGCTCTGCTACAGACCGGGCTTGTTAGGTGAGATCAAATGACGCAGCTGTGTAGCTCAGACCTCCAGGTCACAGATAGCTTTAAAGTAATACGTCTGAGCCATTGGACAGAGACACTCAGGCTTGTCATCCCAGCATTCAGGAAGCTGAGGCTAGACCATTACATTGAGTTGGAGGCCAGCATAGGCTACAGAGCAAGACCCTATCTCAACAGATAGCTGTTGATTGATAGAGACAGAAGATAGATAATGGCTGCTGTGGATGAGATGGCAGAGATGAGTGGCTGAGAGGTAACCAGTTGAGTCTTTTGTCACAGGAGTGGCAGTGGGGGTGGCAGACAACAGTGTTGGGAATGCCCTGACTGGGCTGGACATGGACCTGGGCTCTGTCTACTCAGAGCCCATTCCCTGCAGGTCACTGAATAGCCTATGTTTACATATAAGGAGCCTTGGATCCCAGGCTGGAGGCCTTAGCCTCTAGGTTCTAATATACAGTGCCCTGAGCCAGGTTCAGGGTTCTAGAGAAACTGTGCTCTGGGTCTGGGTTGCTCTGCCCTGAGGATGCCTTCTCCGGGGGCTTTGACCCTTGGGTGCATTACTGCCTAGCCAAGGCCCCTGGGTGCTGGGTAGCGAGGCCAGATACTGTGTTCTGCTGGCGGGGAGGGGTCCGGGCATATCACTGGGACAGCCACAGCCCTCCTCTGTTCAGACCCCGATTTTCAACCCCACACCCATTCCATGTTTCTCTTCTTGCTTTGAGTGTTGGTTCCTTTCAGGGTGCTTTTGTTTGGTCTTTAAATTTCTGTTTCGCTTCTTCTTTTTCTTCCTTTCTTTTTTTTTTTTAATTTGTCACCTCCCCCAACCCCTCCTGGTTTTGGTTTGGACGTCAAATGCCGTTTTCTGTCCTGGATTAATTAGCCTCCACACTCATTCCCACTCATTCTGTTTCCATGACAACACAGCCTCAGCATTCCCCCCCCCCCAGCCTTGCTGTGGATGCTGGCAGCAGGTGGCTGGCTGGACCCTGGTGCCGCCTCCCCTGCTCCTCACCTTCCACCCAGCCCTATCAGAACTGTGCCCCACCTCTGCCCCACCTCCTCTTCAGCCTGCAAGGGCTCATGTCTTCCCTATCCCCTCCCTCCATCCTGTGTTCTCCATGACTCTGGACTTTTTGTGGGGCTACGTTTTCCGAAGAGTTCCAGCCTGTTGACCTTCACTCCCAGTGATTCCCCTGTCCCTATTTTCTGTGACTTCCCCCTGGATTCAGGAAACAGCTTGGAGTGTCCACCTAGAGAGCTAGACTAGAAGGAATGGGCAAGGGCTGGTTTCTTTATCTCTGAGGCCCCTTGAATAGAGCAGACGAGCCTTTAATAAGCAGTTAATGCCTGTACACCTACAACCGTGTGACAGACATGGCTATGGGGCCATAATGTGACCTCATGTTGAGACTCAGCCTGTCAGAGAGTCTTCGCCTACCCAAGGCCATGCTCTTGCCCTTAGCTTCCTGGGGCTCTGCTTGAGTGTTGCTTCGAGCCTCACCCATGCAAAGGCTACTCTTCGAGGCTCAGGTCCCCATGAGTGTCCCACCCCTACCCCCAGAACCCACCCAACTTCTGAAAACGGAGCCCTGGAAATGTCCTGCTGCCTTCCTAGCCCACAAGGCCCCTGCAGAAGGTGGCGTCCATCCCCGCCCACTGAGGAGCACAGCAAACATGCCCCGCCCCCACTGCTCCAGCTCCTCGGCTCCTTACTGTTAATCATTCTCAAATTATGGATTGTTATTGAATATCCTACGTATGGTTCTGCCAGGGCTGATGTGGCAATGTGTCCAGTCACATTGTATCACATCTGCGAGAGTACCATGCAGCACTGAAGTGGGCCCTTCCCTTCTGCTGTCTTTCTCTTTCCCGTTCCATCTCTCTTCTTCTCTCTCTCCTCTGTCTCTCTGCCTCCTCCATCTCTGCTTTCTCCACCATACTGACACTAATACTCCTCTCTCTCTCATAAGCACCTCTCTCTCTCTCCTTCCTCCCTTCTTCCCTCCTTTTCTCTCTCTCTCTCTCTTTCTCTCTCTCTCTCTCTCTCTCTCTCTCTGTCTCTCTCTCTCTCTCTCTTTCTCTCTCTCTGAATCTTTTCTGCATGATGTTTGTGATTTTTAAGAGCTGCATCTATTGATGGAAACTTGTCCAATCCAACAGAAGCTTTTAGAAGGGTTTCTAACACCCTAAAACCACAAAAATTTCATTAGCATTTCTCATCTTTCCCTTGGGGGGTTGGATCCGGAGGCCATGGAGTTAGTTCCCTGGTCCTTCCACCTCCCGGGCTCCTATGTTTTATGATCAGTTCTGTCCTCATTTCCCAGAAGGGTGGCAAGTTGCATCCCCACAACAGAACCTCTTTGTGTATTCCCAACCCCAGCCCGTAGTACCAGAGCCTTCTAGAACCTTTCATGGTAGTCATCCTTCTCAGGAGCTCATGGAGGGACTGTCCACTGGAGCCATGTCTGTCCACCAAGATGAGAAACTGCTGATAAGTTTTTGTGTGTACCTCCATGCTGCGATCAGCGGCCGCTGGTCGGGGAAACCCTGCTGCTATGAGATAGCGCTTCGTGTCTCACTCCTGGTAGATCTATATTGTTTGTGAAGCTCCTGCCTTTGAAGTTTCCTTTGTGTTTTTATGATTTGTTTGGTTTGATTTTTTTTTTTTTTTTGGTTGTTCTGTTTTCATTTGGGGGAATGAATGATCTGGGGCTGTAATGGCCCTGTTTATATTTAAATGGCTTTCTGCCCTTTTCCCTCTTTTTTTCTCTTTCCTCCTCATCCTGTCCATTCCCCACTCCTGTCAAAACCGCCGCCTGCCCCCCCAGTCCGCCGTGTGGCCCCCCGCTTCTCCATCCTGCCCATGAGCCACGAGATCATGCCCGGTGGGAATGTGAATATCACTTGTGTGGCCGTGGGCTCACCCATGCCCTACGTGAAATGGATGCAGGGGGCCGAGGACCTGACACCTGAGGATGACATGCCCGTGGGTCGGAATGTTCTAGAACTCACGGATGTCAAGGACTCAGCCAACTATACTTGTGTGGCCATGTCCAGCCTGGGTGTGATTGAGGCCGTGGCTCAGATCACTGTAAAATGTAAGTCAGGTCCACAAGGGGGATGGGGAGGGAATGGACGGGACACAGCCTGACCCTAGTGTAGACATGGCAGAGCTGGGGAGAAGTGGGCGTAGCCAACTAGAACAGTGGTTCTCAGCCTGTCGGTGGCGACCCCTCCTGGAGTTGAATGACCCTTCTATAGGCATAGCCTAAGACCATCAGAAAACACAGATGTCTGCATTACCTTCTCAACAGTAGCACAGGTTACAGTTATGCAGTAGCACTGACGATGACTATGGTAGGGAGCCGTGTATCTCTTTAGGGACAAAGTGTAGCGTGACAGACAGATGGAAGATGGAACTTCCATGTGGCTGAAAGAGTGAACCACAGACACAGGCCGGGGCTGCATAGACAGCTCCTAACAGCAGACAGTGCTCCTTTGTAAATGTCCTCTGTTTCAGAGTAGGGCCAGGAAAGGGCCTTACTGTTTAGCCCAGGATAGCCTGGAGTGAGCTCCACTGCACCTGCCTGAAAATACTGTCCTGATGGCACATGCCTCAATGCAAGGCTAACCTCAGCTACATAGTGAGTTCAAGACTAGCCTAGGCTATATGAGACCTTGTATTTTTTTAAGTAAATATTTTCAGCCCTTAGTTAACTTCTGGTTTGTACTGTGTTCACTCTTCTCTAACATGCTAGTGTGAAAGTCAGCCGTTAACAGTGGTGTAGTTGTGTTCTAATAAAGTTTTATTTAACAACTTTGACACTGAGTGATGGAACAAGATGAATGGAATTACTAGGCTTGTGTGTTTGCTTAGGAAACTGAGGCTGAAGTGATTGTGTGGTCTTGAGTCACCCCACCTCCCTCCTGCAGCTCTCCCCAAAGCCCCTGGGACTCCTGTGGTGACGGAGAACACTGCCACCAGCATCACTGTCACATGGGACTCAGGCAACCCTGACCCCGTGTCCTACTACGTCATTGAGTATAAGTCCAAAAGCCAGGATGGGCCGTATCAGATCAAAGAAGACATCACCACCACACGCTACAGCATCGGCGGCCTGAGCCCCAATTCTGAGTATGAGATCTGGGTGTCAGCTGTCAACTCCATCGGGCAGGGCCCCCCCAGTGAGTCGGTGGTGACCCGCACAGGTGAGCAGGCACCAGCCAGCGCGCCCAGGAATGTTCAGGCGCGCATGCTCAGCGCCACCACCATGATTGTGCAGTGGGAGGAGCCTGTGGAGCCCAATGGCCTGATCCGTGGCTACCGTGTCTACTACACCATGGAGCCTGAGCACCCAGTAGGCAACTGGCAGAAACACAATGTGGACGACAGTCTTCTGACTACTGTGGGCAGCCTGCTGGAGGACGAGACCTATACTGTGCGTGTGCTCGCCTTCACGTCGGTGGGCGATGGGCCACTGTCAGACCCCATCCAGGTCAAGACCCAGCAGGGAGGTGAGGTCTGGGGAGTAAGTCCTCACATGCCTGCCAGGGTTGTTGTACTAGAGTCAGAAAGGACAGAGTTATCCCAGCCAATCTAAGCCACCCAGCCTTCCATAGGCCAGCTCAGCCATTCATCTGTTGACTTCCAGCTACCCCCTTCCCCTGTAGTCACTGAGAGGAGACACACACACACTGCCATTGTAGTGTGACTTCTAGACAGTAAGTGTGTACTCCACAAACCCCTTTGCTGGGGTAAGGGGCAGAGACAAGTGGATTCATGTGAGTTTGAGGGCAGCCTGGGATACACAGTGGAACCCCATCAAAAGAAAAGACTCGGGGAAAGTACATGCCCAGCCCCAGGCTACTCCATTTGCCCTTCCCTGCAGGGATTAGAGAGGGGCAGGTGATTCCAGGGGATGGCCAACCATGAGCATTCGAAGTGGCTGACCACCTGGAAGAGTCCTGAAGCATCCTGAGCTATGCAGGCAGCAGTGTCAGGAGTCTCCCTTGCTGTGGAGCTCCCTTGAGGGGTCAGGTAGCTTGTGAGGACACTGATCTTTCTCCACCTTCTCCATCCCTCATGTGTGCTCCTCCCCTAGTGCCTGGCCAGCCCATGAACTTGCGGGCTGAGGCCAAGTCAGAGACCAGCATTGGGCTCTCGTGGAGTGCACCACGACAGGAGAGTGTCATTAAGTATGAACTGCTCTTCCGGGAGGGAGACCGAGGACGAGAGGTACCTGGGCTGTGTGGGTGGCAGGGGATGAGCTGGGTGGGGCCTGCCAGGCAGGCCCCCATGGCCTCGTCAGTACTGGCTTGTTACTCACCCCTGCCTCCCCACCCTCCCATCCATTCCCTCTGCCCACCTTGCCTCATTCTACGCGTATCCCATCTCTGTCTCTCATGGATCTCTGTCTCCCTCTCTGTCTCCATCCGTCACTGTCTCTACCCCTCCCTTGGCCCATCCATTCTTAGGTGGGGCGAACCTTCGACCCAACCACAGCCTTTGTGGTGGAGGACCTCAAGCCCAATACGGAGTATGCGTTCCGGCTGGCGGCGCGCTCGCCGCAGGGCCTGGGCGCCTTCACCGCGGTTGTGCGCCAGCGTACGCTGCAGGCCAGTACGTGTCTCTCCGCGCTTTGTCCTTGGGGGAGGGGGGTGCAATAGCCACTAACCCAGCCTGAGCCCCTGGGTGGGGGTGGGGGGAGGGGGTGCTTCCCGCCTGGCCTGCCTCAGCCTTGGCCATGTCTGCCTGCCGTGCCTTAGTTTCCCCAGAGCAGGGTGGGTCTCCCCATGGGGATGAGAGACTGGCACAGAATGGCTACTTGGCCACTGGTTCCTTCCTTCTCTTCCTGGACCTGAGACTAGTCCTGTCCCCAGAATGTCCTTGCAGGGCCTCAAGGTTGTTGTCCCTGAGGGCCCGGGATGACCCCCTGGGTGACTCCGGAGTGACCACTCCTATCAGGTCCCTGTCAGCTCTTCTCACCTCACAAGGGACATGGCTCTGGAAGCCTCAGGACAGAGTTCCCAGAGGCCCAGTTATGAACTGAGTCACGTCAGTTCTGGAAGCATGTGTGGTCCTTGATACAGGGTCCTGGTCTCTAAAGCAGCTTGCCTGTGCCTGCCTGGCTCCTGTCACAGGTTTCTATTTCTGGGGCACATGTTGGCCCCAATGTCCCCACCACCATTCCCACACCTCAGCTCAGCCCTCATGGCCCCCTTGGGGCTGCTCATACCCTGCCTGCTCTGCTCAGCTTGGCCAGCACAGCCTCTACCACTATGGCTCCTTGCATCTCCCCTACTTCCTCAGCCAGTCACCATGTGGCCACCAAATGTGGTTCCAAAAGCATCTGCTGTTGGTGACCCTCACTCCCCATGTGTGAGAACACAGTGGGTCTCATGTCCCTCAAGGGTGATGTAGACTTGGCTTGGGCCAGAGTTCTCTGAGGGCAAGGGCCACAGAGATCTGGTTCCCTGCCATCCTTCCCACCCCTCTGCTGCTTCCTGCCCCTATCCCCGACTCCAGCACTGAGCCCCAGGTGGCTCCAAGGTGGTGATTGTCAGGTGGAGGTCAGTGAGGGTGGCCTGTGGCCTGGGGCCACCGAGCGGCCGGTAGAGGTGGCCCACAGGTGAGTATCAGCCAGTCTCAAGCAACTCACAAACACAGCCCACCCTGCGTGTCCCCTGCCAGCCCTGGGCAACACATGGCCCAGAGGAATCTCCAAATGACCCCAACTAGACACAACACATGCTTGTCAAGCTTCACAGCACGTCCCATCCAAGACACCACGCAGGTTGGGCTGGATTGTGAAGGTCGTGACCTCTACGGTCACCCAGAAAGTGTCTTCATCCCAGCCCTGTGCGGTCCAGGGCGGCCCAGGACAGGGAGTTGGGAGGAGAGGGCTCCCCTTCTCACCCAAGACCCAGGGCCAGGCGTGTCCCCAGGGCTGTGGGCTCATTAGGCCCTGTCAAGGGTAGGTGCAGGTCTACCCGCTGGCCACTGCGGGTGTCCTCAGACCCCACCAGCCCCCACCGCCCAGAGAGCTGCAGAATGGCTCTCCCTGTGTGGGTCACCAAGAACTCATAGCCTTGTAGCCGGCGCCGTACCCTTTCGTAAGAAAGTCTGTTAAGTTAGCGCTTGAAGGAGTGGAAGGTAGGTAAAGACCGGGCGTCTCTGTGAGGCGTCTGTCTGTCTGTCTGTCTGTCTTTCTTTTATGATTTTTTTTCCATCATCTCCACTGTCACCCTTGCTTCTTGTTTTATTGTTTGGTTTTATTTTACCACTTTCCCTTCCTCCTGTTTCACAGTGGAAGCTCCCTGTCAGCACATTCCCCGGTGGCTTATTTTGTTTCCATCATCCCTGCCTGATCCCCTACCCCCACCCCCGGGCACTTTGGATTGGGGTGACTGGTCAAGAAATGGGCCCCAATCTATACTGTGGCTACTGTATGGTTTCCAGGAAGGAATGTTGAGAGAGCATCCATTCCCCAGGGCCACAGCAGCCGCTGTCTTTGAGTACAAGCTGTAGTCCATTTTAGGTCCTAGCATGGAAAGTCAGGAAATGCATACAGTCAACATTGACTAGACATCAGACCCACAAGGGCATGGCAGGTTAGAGGACCAGGGTTGTAGTCCTGCCCAGCAAGTCAGGGTATGTTGCCTGCAGGGGTGGGTCCCTGAGTGGTTTGTCTGCCACCTGCACAGGCCCAGGTCTGTGGTCCCCGGCTCAAGACCAGAACGCCCATAACTGATGTCTGAACTTGAGTCTGAGCCCTGCTGAGCTATTTCTGAGACTTTATTTCACCGCCTGCAAAATGAGGTCTGCCCCTGGGCATCCTAGGTGATTCAGAAGACACAGGATGGAGTCTGGCACCCAGACCAGTGAGCCTTGGAACTGGATTTCCTTTCTGTGGCTTGAGGCAGGGTTCAGGGCCAATGACTGAGTGGCTAGGGGTCACATGTGGGAGTCTCCCACATGCCCAGCAGGCAGGGCCACAGAGAGCCAGTATCAGTACCCATTGCAAGCCCGAAACGGAAATGGGTGCTGGGTCACCCATATTATCAGTAATTTCCATAGACTAGCTGGGCTATAAATGTTTCATAGGGCCCTTGATGTACACAGTAGGCATGCCATTGTGAGCAGAGTTCTGCTGTTTGCCCCAGCACATAGTTGGTGCTCCTTAAATGTTGTTTGAAGTTTAAATACAGATCAAGACATACATCATACATGGAAGCCATCAGCCATTGGTGACAAGCTAAATGATGCAGTGCACAGTAGGTCCCTAGATCACATAGGGCTCTGACAGTTTTGCAAGTCTCTTCAGATACAGTAAACACTTGTACCCAAGACACAGTAGGCACTGCATCTGCAGTCACTGTTACCCAGTCAGTTCTTGCCATGCGTGCCGTATGTGTTTTAATGTTGAAGGACTGTTGGTCCAGTGCCTGGCACGCAGTGTTTGATGTATGGGTGCTTCTAGGCCAG